TTTCAACCTTGGGCACTTTAAGGCGTCACGCCTTCAAGTGCCCAAGGTTGAAAAACGTGGCTCTGTGTAACATGCTTGACCAAGACCCGGGATGTGGCACGGTGGGGGATTTTCCATTCGGCATCCATGGTTTGAAGGAAGAGGCTTGAGAAGACTCAGGCAAATGGGTCCCCCCAGCCCCTTTACAGGTAGTCCTCTCTTCGCAACCGAATTGGGACCTGCAACTCCATCACTAAGCAACACGGTCATTAAGTGAAAGATCACAGGACCACACTGGACTTACAACATCAGTTCCCCTGTGATCATTAAGCGAATCACGCATGGTGGTTAAGTGTGATGTCACAGGACCATGACTGCGACTTACTGCCGGCTTTTCTGTTATCTTTGCTTGTCCGAAGCCGGCTGTGAAGCTCACAAATGCCAGTCGCTTGACCGCAGGACGTGGTGACCATTCTAAATGCGTGCCGGTTGCCAAGCACCCAAGTTGCAATCACGTGACTGCGGGGATGCTGCGGCCGTAGTAAGTTCGAGGGCCAGTTGTAAAGTTACTTTTTCAGCATTCATAAGTTCCAACAGTTGTTAAATAGGGCAAGGACTTTGGGCATTAAGTGAAGCAATGCAGTTTTAAGTGAAAAATCATGTGACTGAGACTTACTTCCACTTTCCATCCTGTACAGTGTGAACTCTGTCGCAAGCCAAAATGCGTACTGGTTGCGACTTCTGGGGGAGTAATGGCGGATTGAGGACAGCTCCTGAGCCGACAACCACGGCAGCTTAGAGGAGCTGGCAAAAGGTCCTGCTCTTTGGAACAATCTCCAGACAAAGGAGATGACTAGATCACCCACAAGCACTCCTTAGAGAGGCTCCCTGGGAAGAGATTGCATTTCAGCAATCTCCAGCAAGTCGAGCAGTCTGGGAGTCGCGGGAAACATGGAGCCCAATCAGAGCCTTCAAAAGGACACTAGAATTGCTGTCACTTCCTTTTTTAATTACCATCAGAAATTACTTATTACTGATTTACTTGGGCATTAAAAATCTTCTGAAAAGCTGTGCACTGGGAGAATTTCCTTCTATTCTGGACGAAAGAAGATTTAAGTAAGTTTAAAGGTTAAAAAGAAAAATCTTAACTTTTGGAAACAGCAAAAGGGAGTTAAGAATGCTGATTGGGGATAGTTAAGGGGCTGATGGATTTGAAAGAATAGGCATTTTTTATGGACCGTTTTAAATTTTATAAAAATACAGCAGATGATTTTGTACTTAATTGTAAGAAAACCTATTGTGGGAAAGTGTTGGCTCTGAAAATAAAAGATAAGACTCAGGTTTGAAGGTTAACTAGAGGGAACCAGAGAGCAATTAAAGGAAAAGATACATCTTAACATAATGGAGGAGCATTGTCTTACTATAAAAGAATTTAAATCTGTTTAGGAATAATGTGTTCAGGGCTTATTTTTAAAATTGGATCTAACAGAGGTTATAGAAGAAGAAAAGATTCTGCTGGATAAAATAGAAGCTGAGGATGATTTGAGTAAGGAGCTTAAAATGGACTTTAAAGAAATGCTAGATTATAAAAGAGATATGGAAGATATGGAAAAAGATGTTGTGGATCTGAAAATGCAAGAGTGACACGGAGAAAGAAGTAATGGATACACAAACTTTGCTGCCTGATGTTTTAACAATTAAAGGGGATATCCAGATTACAAATCAGAAGAGTAAGTTGGAGAATTATTTTACTTTGGATCCACAGAAGGGAAGAGTTAAATCTCTGAAGTTGCTTCTGAAAACAGGGAGGAAATGATAAGAAATCACTATGTGGGGCTTCATTTGAAGAAGCAGCTGAAGTTCAAGCCTCTTAAAAAGAAGAAAAAGGTGTTCAAAGTGGACTTATTTGACCAGGGTTAAATTGGATAAGTTTTGATTTTGGGTTGTTATTTTTGGATTATTTTTCTGACCAGGACTGCAAGATGATGTAAAGATTTTTTTTATATAGTGATGAATCCTTTATTTCCTATTTGTTAGAGAAAGTTAGGGGTTAGTATCTAAAAGGGACTTCTAGTTTAAAATATATATGTTACTATTATTGATATTCTTGATGCTTATGGGGATAAATTTTTTATATTTTACTTATTAGAGAAACTTATAAGTTAAAATGTAAAATAGATTTCGTTGTTTAAACTTAAAACATATGGGTTATTGATACTGGTACTCTTAATGCTTTTGCTGTGTAAGACTGATCAATGATTTTTTTTTATAATTTGGTTCTTTTTTAAAATTTTGGTTATTTGAAGAGAAATAGGAAGAAAAGTTTCTTTTTCTGTAATACCAGAGAATGTGTTAGGGTACTGTGAATGCTTATACTTGTCTGGAGGGAGGGGGGAGTCCCTGTTTATATGCCTTTCTTTTTCCTTTTTCTCTCTTGTTCTCTTTCTTCTTTTTGTTTGTCTATCTTTTTAAATTATGTACTAGCTTTTAATTATGTAAAACTCTAATAAAAATAATACGAAAATAAAAGATGTGCACCGGTTGTGAAGTACGCAAATGGCAATCATGTGGCTGTGGTCATAAATGTGAGGATTGGTCGCAAATTTATATTTTTAGCACCGTCATAACTGCAAATGGTCACTGCACGAGGCAGTTGGTAAGCAAGGACTACCTGTATCTCTCTGTAGCAGCATTGCCCCTATACATGGCTTTGTAGATCTTCCTGATTCCACATCCCTGTATTCTACATCACTAGCCTTGCCGGCTGAGTTTGTTGGGAATTGAGCCAACCCTAACCCCTGGAAGCCATATGGGCAGTTATTCCTGAAATAAAGCTGGTAACAGGAAACAGCAGGATGTGGGGGATATTCAGTCCCCACTCCCATTGGCATTCTGACCCTCAAGGCAACATGGCTTGACTTTGGCCTGTCCAGGTTGGCTGACAGTCACCTTTCTCCAACACATGGACAGTGCCAGATGGGAAGGGACATGGCTAAGTGACCAAGCAGATAAAAAAGATGGAGGTGAAATTTGTTTGCTTTGTACTAAAGCGTGAATTTCTTCTTTTCATGTTTTCAAACCACAGTGCAAACTGAAACTCAGTTACTCTTAAAAATCTGGACTTCCCTGCATTCTTCAATGCAGCTCTCAAGTTAAAAACAAAAAAATCCTGAAGCTTCTACAGTAAAAAATGATATTAAGGGAAAGAACTAACAAAACTGAGTCGGGGGAGTGGCATATCCGTTTAATAAATTATTATTATTATTGTACTAATAAAAACTGCTTGCAAAAACAGATCAAACAGCCAGCATTTTTTGCAATCAATTAAAAGAATTACATATATAAATTTTAGAACTTTTTGAAAAATTCAAACCAGTAGAAAAATGGGACAAACTGAAATAAAATGGAAAAAAAAATTGAAATCAACAGACGCAGCTGTCTTTACCAGTCAGCTAAGCCATATATTTTAGTAGGCAACACCCACATACTGTCAGAAGCAGGCGCTAACCAACGATTGGGAGGGCAAAACAGCCGGTCCTGAATTCCTAAGCTCCATCTTTATTCAGAGGTGCACCCGGTTCACCGTGCCCTCACCTGAGGAAAGCAGGTCAGGGGGTCCCATCACGCTCTCCGCCTTCATACAGGACCGAATCAGAATCAATCCTCACTGCACCATAAAGTCATACGAATAGGCACTAGTCTACACAAGCAATACTTGTGTAGTAATAACCAAAAACCTGGTTGGTTAATTGTCAAAACCTGAAGAGGCGCTGAAGCGCTTAGGTACAAAAGGGAGCATCTTGAAAATACATTTCTACTTATGAGTAGATCCCTAGATCTGATGGATCATACCATGGATTAGGCTTGATAAGCACCTGCTGATTAAGGGTGGGATAGCAATGGCCGCTAGTATAAAAAACTATTTGTGAGTTGCCCAGCAATCTCTGTTTTACCACTAAAGAATTCTGTGAGTTGCAGCCCAATATTTCTAAGGTGGGGAATGTAAACTGTTGTCAGGTTCAGCCCAAGAACAACGGTGAAAGAGTCCAGTTGAGTAAAGTTCCTATATTTACTTACACCCTGTAGACAGAATCTTGTCAAACTG